GATGAGATTGGACCCCTCCCCATGAAGAAAATTCCTCGAATACCCTAACTTTAGTGATTCAGCCCAGAGACGACTTCAGAACAATCCAGACCAAGACATCCAGAAAAGATACTCTACAAAAGCCCCCTTGAACAAAGTAGGAGCGCTCATGCGGCCTGAGCCCATGTGCTGCTCCCGCCCACGCGGCCAAGCAAATGTGCCAGTGCATCTCCCCTCTTGAGATGTTTACTTTCATGTTTTCCTGTCTAATGCTGGGATGTGTGCAGGGGCTCTCTCCGCCCCTGGAGAAGCCCGGGTTCTCTCCTGAGCACGTTACTCTCCACTCTCTCCCACTTCCTCTCCCTCCTTCCCTTCAAAACCTCCAAATAAAAATGTGTAATTTCACGGCTTGTCTACTCCTGAAATTCCTTTCTGCGAGGCAAAACAAGAACCCAGTAACCCTGGGTCCCAGGTGGCAGAGACTGATCGGGAGAAAGTGACCATTTTTCTCTTCTCAGCTACACATGAGCCACCTGTGGGACCCACCGACATCACCCATATGGTCCCCAGAGCCCTGCCAGGAGTGATTCCTGAGCAAAGAGCCAGGAGTAGCCCCCTAAAAACCACTGAGTGTGGCCCCCAAACAAACAAACAAACAAACAAAAAACCCAAAAAACAACTCCACCCACCCCACAGAAAAGAAAGAAAAAGAAAAAAAGGGTTAGGAAAGCAGAGACTAAAAGGAGGTGAAGGAACTGGAGAACTAACATAGATCGAGCTACTTTTGCCTGCCAACACTTATTTGTAAGACTAACATTTATAGAGCAATAGTGTAAAAATATCTTTTTTTTTCACTTTTGGATTTTGGGTGACACCTGGTTATGCTCCTGGGACTATGTGGTTCCCCGGGACTGAGCCCAGATTTCTCACATGCCATTCACGTGCTCCAGTTCCCTTGAGCCCTTAGCGTGTGTGTGTGTGTGTGTGTGTGCATGTATGTGTGTGTGTGTGTGTGTGTTTAAATGTCATCACATATTAAGGTTTAAATCTGTTCTTTAAATGCACAAGGCTGGGACAAAAATCTAGGAGTTTTACAGTCACTTTATTCACTTAGGTTTGGGGGTCATGCCAAGAAGTCAGGGGCTACTCCTAACTGCTTAGGTGGTTACTCCCGGGGTGCTTGGGGGATTCAATCCAGGCCTCTTGCATACAAAGAACACATTCAAGGCATCAAACTCTCCCTCTCTGGCCCCCATATCACTTCAGAAACTATTTTGAAATGGATTAGTTTTTTAAAAAGTGATCTATTAAATTTTTTTTAAAAAATCATCTGGAGACTCACAGATGTATTAGAGAGGGCCCCAGGGATAGCACAGCGGCTAAGGCATTCACCTTACACACCGCCAACCCCAGTTGATCCCTGGAACCCCATATGATCCCTGGAGTCCCATCCAGAGTGACCCCTGGGCACAGAGTAAGGAGTAAGCCCTGAGTACCACCAAGTGTGGCCCCCAAACCAACAAAATGCACAGAAAAATCAATGCCGCTTGAAATTTTCCTTCCCACAGCTGTCAGGTCTTTGGGTTTTCCTTCTCACGTGCACCCTACTTTTGTTTCTGCCTTTTGTCCCGGGTTCTTGCAACCAGCTCTGCATTATCAACCGTGGAAGGTGGACCCCAACCCACGTGGTTTCCTTTAGCTAACTTTGGGCTGGCCCCGGGCTGGAAAGCTAAGCTTCCCCACCCGGGTTGGGGGGTGGGAAGGCAACTAGAGAAGTCAATCCCTTGGCTTCGGGCTGAACTGGCAGCTAGAGTCCCCCAGGCCCTCTGGGCAAGCGCGAAGGGGGGGCTTTACACGCGTTCATATCCTCCACCCGGCTTCTTTCTGGCCACCACGCATGCGGATAGCAAAATGACAAGCAGGGCTGCGATACTCAGGCCCACGGCCACGGGGGCTTCTCTCCTGCTTGTGTCACTGAAGCAGTCCTCGGCTGTAATTGAAGTCAGAGTAACAGGTGTTACAGGCTGGCCACCGTGCGGGGAGGTGATTCTGCCCCAGCCTGCCTGCCCGGGGCTCTGCAGGGGAGCTCTGGGGGGGAGGGGGGGCACCTGCAGCTCTTCCTGCTCGGGTGTCTGGGGACCCCCCCTGGTAGTGTGCATGCGCTCTCAAGGGGCCTGAGATGGCAGGACGCCACTCCGCACTCTAAGCCCCCTTAGGCTTCTGTGAGCGGGGCTGGGGCAGCGGGCTGACCCCAACGCAGAGCAGGCGCAGACCCATCTCTTGGTCTAGAGGGGAGTCCTGGTATTAGAGACACACTTTGCAGACTCTGTTTTGGTTGGTTGGTTGGTTTTAATTTTTGGTAATGGGGTTGCTGGGGGTGGGGGTGGGGCGGGTACCACTTGGCTCTATGCTCAGGAGCGACCCCTGGCGGTGCTCGCGGACTGCACGGCTCCGACAGAGCCTCGTGCTTTGTGTCCACCCTTCTTGGGCTGCGGGTTTTTTGAGAACAGGGCCGGAGCATGTGCGAGTCAGGAGTTATTTTGGATATTCATTCTTTTTGACCAAGCTGAGCTCTGACACTTGGCTGGATTCTTCTCCGGTTCTCCAAGCACTTGTTGAAACGTCACCCATTTACTGGGATTTTTTTTTTCTGGTGTCCCTCTACCCTCAATGCATTCATCACACCATCCTCTGCGCCCCCCCCCCCCCCCCCCGCCATTCTTCTGCACCAATGCCTTTGGAAACACCCTGCTGAACCTTAACTCTTTGGGCCACACCTGGCGGTGCTCAGAGGTTACCCCTGGCACTGAGCTCAGAGATCACTCCTGGTGGAGATCAAAGGACCATCTGGGGTGCTGGGAATTAAACCCAGGTTGACCGTGTGCAAGGCAAGTGCCCTATCTGCTATACTATCGCTTTGTGTCCCTTTATTTTTTCAAGCTAGGTCATCCCCCCCTTTTCCTCTGGCTGAAAACCTCACTTAAAGAACAACATATTCGTTATTGGTGTGTCTTCAATACAATTTGAAGCCCAGAGACCAAGAATTGAAGCTGAGCTGGAGCAGGGACAGTAGAATGAGTAACAGGAAAAGAAGGTGGAGGTAGATTGCACAGGGCTTTGGGACCCTTCCTACGAGAGGGTCCCGGAAGACAAAGGGCTGCTTGTCTGCATTTCCTTGTGGGCCCTGCTGTCCCAGGACCAGCGAGTGCTGCTGAAAGATTTCTTTCTCACTCTTGCCACTAAGCAGTTTCCAAGACCTGCTCACTTCCTGTTTCACAGACTCCTTCGTGGGGGAAGAGTGAGCGTGTGCCAGATTTTTCAGATGCCCCAATGCATTGCAGAGTTCCCCCAAACGCTCATAATGACTTCTAAAAGTTTCCCACTACTGGAAAATTTGAGACCAGCTAACAAAGAAGGGAGGATGGGGGGAGGGAGAGAAAATAACCAATAAATTTTAATATTTAATCTTGCCCAGTGGTAAAAGTAGTAATCATAAGACTCAGGGGAAAAAAAAACAAAAGCCTACAGAAATCAGAGCATCCAAAGCAAGCCTTGCTTTTTTTTCTCCTTGTTAAATGTTTTCCACTAAATATAACAGAAGTTTTCTGCTGGATAAACGTCCTTAACTTTATCATGGAACTCAAAGATAAATCAAACTCGTATTGCAGATCTGAATTTCAGAAAGAGTTTTCCTCTCGCTGTCTCACTCTCTCTCTCTCTCTCTCTCTCCCCCCCCCCCTCCTTTCCTCCTTCCCTCCCTCCCCCCCCTTCCAAATCATGTGTGGTGCTAGGGATTGAACCAGGATTTGCTTTGTGCTAGACAAGTGCCTTAACCCCTGAACTATCTCTCTGCTTCCAGAAATTTGATTTCTGGCTAATCTCACTAAGTATTTTTTTCAGGGTGGAGACATACCCAGTGGTCTCAGGGACTGCTCCATTGCTTGGGAGCACCATCATCTGTGGAGTCAGGGTTGGCAGAATGCAAAAAAAAAAAAAAAAACCTAACCCCTGTAGTATCTCTCTTACTCCAAGATCACTGAATATTTTCAATAATCAAGTGATGTTCATAATATCATGGGACTGTGAGAAAGATGTTTTTGAAACTAAGCTTCAAATCCTGATGAAATTCTTTTAGTGCTTTTACCGTCTAAGAGAAAAAAAAAAAAGAAATTTTCTTGGAACGTTACCCAACCTGCCTCCAGCTTTTGGCCTTGGATCTGCTTCCCTTAGTAAAGGTTAAAACCCAAAGAAAATGCTGGATGGAAATCAAGAGGAACAGGAAGGACCACTCTTGTGGAATAGCCTGTGGGGTAGGGCCGGGGACCCCACAGAGGGTTTCCGAGTTGACACATCACTTTGTTCTCTTCTTCCCTCTGCCCGTGGGATATAGGGGATACGGAAACCCTGAGTTTTAGACATCACAAATGCTCTGAATCTTTACTGTGCCCCAGATGTACCCAAATGACCAAGTCCTTCCTGGCAGGGACTGGGCAGATGAGAGTTGGTGCCGTTTTGAGTGTATGCCTGTGTACTGAAATGGGTCAGAATGAGTGATTTGCTAGGACAGGGACATTCATTCAGCAGCGGAAGGGCAGTGGACATGAGTGCATGAAGGTGTCTGATATAGAGGTTGGTGGTGGGAGGGGACATGGTCAAAGAAACCCACCGAGTGCTCGGGGCCATCACACTTTTCTAGGAAGCTCCTGTGTTACTAATCCCTTGGGCAGCTTCAGCCAGAAAGAACTTGAAAGAAACTCGGAGGCTTTCTTTTTGTTTGTTTGTTGTTGTTGTTGTTTTTGTCTGTGGGGAGAGCATGTGCTTTGGGGAAGCCTCTGCTAGGGTTCAGGGGCTACTCCTGGCTCAGGAGTGCAGCCTGGGTGTGCTCAGAGGACCATCAGCGGGGCATGGGAACTGACATGGGAACTGACAGTGGAGCACAGGCAAGGACAGAGTCTCACCCTCTGTGCTCTGTCTCGGGTCCCATCCCTGAAGTCTTCCAACTTGAAGAACCCTTGACTTACCATTTCCAAAGTGGGCTCCTTCAAAATCGAAAGCTTGAAGCTGGGTGTTCATCATTTTCAGTTGCAGGTGGCGCGACAGCTGGACACTCTGTTCACTCACACACTTGAAGGAGTGCCCAAGCGTGGCCTCAAACATCATCAGAGAGCTCTTCATCCCCAAGTAACTTTTCTCTAGCAAGGCAAAGGCGAGACACAAATAAGAATCCTGGTGACTATCTGGTGAGTTGCTACTGCGGCTGGGGGCTGTACACAGGTGGCCTCTTTGCTTCCTTCAGATGTAGTTCTCTCGTGGGTCTTGCCACTTTTTTTTTCAAGAACATAAAATCCCCCACTAGACCTTAGGGACATGATTTTCTGCCCTGTTTGGAATATCTGAAGGCCGCACCGAGTAAATTGGAATGTCATCACATTGACATGAGAACCTTAGAGGATGTCTTTTCCTCCCTTCCGGCTCTTGACAGAATCCTACCTTCCCGCTGACCTACATTTGGTTCATACCTAGTTATAATATTAAGTAATTTCTGTTAGTATTCATCATCTTCACTCCCCAGTCGATGAAAGGAAATACTTCTTGGTGCGTTAAGGTGTATGAAGGGGAGTTGTCGGCCCTAAAATCTCCCAGCCACATAGATGGGCATCATTTCAAACAGTACCAATGCACTCTAGCCAATGTGGCACACAAATGTTTCTCCACACTGTCGTTTTCTGACAAATTTCTTTGGTATAAGTTCCATAGTTAGTAAAACAATAGGCTTTAGCTCACCAAAGACAGAATTTTGAAAGGAAAGAAACAGATGTGAGGGGCTGGAGTGATAGTACAGTGGATAGGGCGTTTGCCTTGAATGTGACCAATCCAGGTTCGATTCCCAGCATCCCATATGGTCCCCTGAGCACCGCCAGGAGTAATTCCTGAGTGTAAAACCAGGAGTAACCCTGTGTATTGCCGGTGTGACCCAAAAAGCAAAATGCAAAAAAACCCCAACAACAACAAAAAACTACAGATGTGAAATCTCTTGGTGCAGAGGAGGTACTTGGTCAAGGTTGATGATCAAAACCTTGACTACCCAGAGAATAGGGGGTGGCCTCTAAAAAAACTCCCCCAATTTGACTCGGAATTTCCCTTTTTCTGTAAGGAACATTATAGGATTTCATCAAGCTGCCATGTCTGGACAAGTCTAAACCAGGTGAATGATGGGAAGTGTCCATCAGACCTATCAGTTCCCTGATGGCAGTTTTTTGCACTCTAGGAGAAAGCCCTGAGCTGTCCCCTTGCCTGGCTGATGCTCTGGCCTGGCTGTCCCTGAGACCTCTCCTTCCACTTTGCCCTCTCTCTCTCACACTGGTCCCTGCAACTCCCGGAACATATCAGCAAGCTCAGTCGCTGGGGCCTCTGTCCCTGCTGTCTTGCCACCTGGCAAGATTCCCACGGCCCAACTGTGCCCACCTGGGGATATTTCTTGGCTTGAAGCTCACCTCCTCTGTGCACCTCCTCCAAGTTCTTCCCTAATGCCCAGCCCCCAAAAGCTTTCATTCCTACACACCCTACTTGTGTTTGCCCATAGAACTCATCTCTGTGTAGTATAATTTTGCCACGTGTTGGGGTTTATTATGCATAGTCTTCTCCCTGCTGGTTGGATGTAAGCTTCATGCAGGCAAGGGCCACATGTTTGGGTAACTGTGGATCTTCAGTGCCTATAATAGGGCTGGGTACTTAATAGGCACTAAGTACCGTTTAGAATATGTGATCCCAAGAATACAGAATCAACTATACTATCAAGAGTTAACCTGTCCAGGGGCTGGAGCAATAGCATAACGGGTAGGGCGTTTGCCTTGCATGCTGCCAACCCGGGTTCGATTCCCAGTATCCCATATGGTTCCCTGAGCACAGCCAGGAGTAATTCCTGAGTGCATGAACCAGGAGTAACCCCTGTGCATCACCGGGTGTGACCCAAAAAGAAAAACAGAACAAAACAAAAGTTAACCTGTCCAAAAGCTGGTCAACAATTATTGCTGACAATGATCTCCAGCATAATCTGGCATAATCACGAGAAAACTAGTGGAAGCAAGTCTAGCGAAGCTCTTCCAAAGCAACATTGCTGGGAATTCTCTGTCTGACTTTCGAAAGCGGCAGTAAGTATTAGCAAATTCAATGGAGTGAAAATCTAGAAGTCGTGGGTGCAACAGTCTTCTGAGTACTAACCTGGATTTGAAATGGTCAGATACGCTCTCACTTCGCTGATATAGTAAGAGTTTTCATCCTGCAAAACAATTAGTGTATTAACCTTTAGGTGATCTCCATTTTGATCGTTATGATCTTGATTACAGAACTGGTGTATGCGGGATTCCATCAATGAAAGCCTTGAGCGGGGGTTGGAGTGCTTAGCACTCATCATAATTGAGCTTGGTAGTTTCAATAAAAGTAAATAAGTATTGGGGCTAGAAAGATAGTATAGTGGGTAGGGTAGTTACTTTGTACATGGCCAATCTGGGTTCAATCCCTGGCATCCCATATGGTCCCCGAGCACCACCAGGAGTGAATGCTAAGTGAAGACCCAGGAGTAAACCCTGAGCAATTCCCAGTGTTGCCCCCATACTGAAAAAAAAGTTTATAGGCATTAAAGAATAATTAACACATCACTCCTGGTTCAAAATTGCTCTACTGCATACTTGCTAAACTGAAATTCAGGTTTCACTGGCATTTTAAATCCCTTCTCATGTCAGCTCATGTTTCCCACTGTTAAAACGGAAATATGTCTGGAAAGTGGAAGGCTTAGCAGGGCTGATAATAAGCTTTTACTACCAATTATTATCTTAAGGTTGGGACTTGCATCTTTAAGGAGACAACTCATCTTTAAGGAAACAAGGGGTGTATTTCATAAATTCTCTGGGAAAAATAAGGTATGAAAATTTTTACATGCATTTTCATGGGTAAGGGGATCAATTGCTTCAAACAAATAAATGAATTCATGTCTCCAGATGGCTACATGGACCCCCCGAGGGATTCTGGGAATAATGGGTGCTCTGGGATATCACTGGGTGTTATCTGGAAGAGGACTGTAAGTGTGTTCACAAATATAAAGCAAGGTCACACACTTTACACAGGGATTGTCCTCCTGGAAAAACAAACCACAAGCCAAGAAACAGTAGTTCAGGTTAGGTGTCTTGCATGCAGCCAATCCAAGTTTGATTCCGGCTCCATAGACCCCCCAAGCTTCACAGGAGTAAGCCTAAAACACAGCCAGGTTTGGCCCCCAAACAAACAACAGCTACAAAAATGATATAACTCACTATTAGAGGAAGACATCAAACAAAATATATGGTATCCAAAACAGGAATGTGAACTTGAATTACTTTTAGTAGTTTTGAATATAATCATTCGATAATTTAACAATATGAATCTTGACCATATTAAGAGTCCATTTGTATGGTATTAGTGGGTGAAATGATGATGCGTTGTGCCATATAAAGATTCCAGAAGTGCAAATTTTTTAGTAAGGTCTCTGCAATGAATTCCTTGACTCATACCTGCTCTTTCCAGCTCACCTTGTTCCAGGCACTGGAGCCCGCCACACTTTTTTCTCCCATTACCAGGGACCAAAGATTTTTGGTCTTTGATAAATTCTTTTTTTTTTTTTGTGGGGGGAGGCCATGGGGTGTCTTTGGGCTTTCTCCTGACTCTGTGCTCTGGGATCACTCATGGTGGGACACAAGGACAGTATGTGGTGCCGAGGACTGATTCAGAGGAGGTCAAGACAAGCACCCTGCCCGTTATACTGTCTCTTTGACCATTTTTGGTAAATTTTTTTACCAGCCTACCACCTGACTGTCTCAGAATTTGGGTTCAAGGGAACCCCTATCTGCCGTAAATATTTAGCCTTTGTGGGATGCTGGTGCAAGCCCTCAACACTGCCACTGTAGTGCACAAGCAGACATAGACCACCTGTCCACAAATGAGCGTGACCATGTCCCCAAAGCTGCATAAGGACATTGGAATTTAAATTTCATCTCATTTGTGTGTGCTGCAAAATACTCTTTCCCTCACAACCATTTGAAAATGTAAATACAATTTTTAGTTTATGAATACATTTTTTGGGTAGGAAGCTATAGTTTGAAGGCTATGAATTGTTAACTCCTGAACTACACTATTGTTGAAAAAGCAGCCTGATAAACGTTTACCACACCAAGAAGAAAAGAAAGGCCCTCCCGTTGATCGTCGATTTGCTCGAGCGGGCCCAGTAACGTCTCCATTGGAGACTTTGTTGTTACTGTGTCTGGCATATCGAATACTCTCGGTAGCTTGCCGGGCTCTCCGAGAGGGGCGGAGGAATCGAACTCGGGTCGGCCATGTTGGCCGCGTGCAAGGCAGACGCCCTACCCTTGCACGCGGCCAACATGGCCGACCCGAGTTCGATTCCTCCGCCCCTCTCGGAGAGCCCGGCAAGCTACCGAGAGTATTCGATATGCCAGACACAGTAACAACAAAGTCTCCAATGGAGACGTTACTGGGCCCGCTCGAGCAACGTTTACCACAGTCATAAAATAACATGAGAATAGTGTTAGACTTTGACTTGGGAGATGAAAGTGTAGCCCAAAATTTTAAGAAGTCCTGGGCTGGAGAGAGAATTCAGGGCTTAAGACATTTGCCTTATGATATACATGATAGCTTTTCAGTATCTATATTGCAAACAATAATGCCGAGAGAGAGAGAGAGAGAGAGAGAGAGAGAGAGACAGAGAGACAGACAGAGAGACAGAAAGACAGACAGAAAAAGAGACAGGCGGTGGGCAGAGGGGGGCAGTAAAACTGTGGACATTGGTTACAAAACAAAGCTCTGTGGTCTGACAAAGTAACCGCTGAGCTAAAGCCAGTCCTAAAACTGGGGACATTGGTGTTGGGAAATATACACTGGTAAGAGATGAAACAATATATAACTGAAACCCAATCATTAACAACCTTGTAGCTATATCTCACTGTGATTCAATTAAAAATTTTTTTTAAAAAGTTACACTTCATCACTAGAATGTTATTATGAGGTATCAATAATGTAGTTTATATTTATTAATATTTGATTAATTTGACACTGAATGGAATATTAATGCAATAAACACGGAAGAAAATTTGAAGAGAAAAAAGATATTTGCCTTCTGAGCAGCTAATATTCTAGAGGGTCCCCTGAGCCACACCAGGAGTGATACCTGAGCACAGAGCCAGGAATTAGTCCTGAGCACTAATAGATGTTGTCCAAAACCAACGTCATGTTTTTAAATTACATCTTTAAAAGTATCTCTTTGGGGCCAGAGAGATAGTACAGATGGCAGGGTGCTTGTTTTGCACATGGCAAACCTGGGTTCAATCTCCTGGCACCTGTCATGGGCCCCAGAGCACTTTCAGGAGTAATTCCCAAGTGCAGAGCCAAAACTAAGCCCTGAGAACAGCCAGGTGTGGTCTGGTCCCAAACCCCATCTCCAAGTCTTGTTTTCCCATAATAGCTCAATTTTAACTATTGTAGCTCTGTGAATATTCAATATTTTTATTTTTTACTTATACAGTAGAAAGTGGGAAAATCAGAACAGTACTTCTCAGACTGATGCAACGATTAAATGAAAGAACCCATAGTTTTAGAAGCTCAGAACCTTCACTAAAACGATAACATGTTATTAACCACAGTAATAATAGATGAATTGGCCACTTCCCAGCAAACCCTCTCTCACAAGATCTATTTCTTCCCACTCAAAAACCAACTGCACGTAGAGGCATCACATAAGTGAGCCAAGACTAGATGATCCTATTTATGAAAGCTGAGGTCTCTATTCCAGGAATGAGACTCAGAAGCTGAGACGGGAGAGTGGGGGGATGGGTGGGGGGCGCGGGGGGGGGGGGAATTTGGGATTTTTAGGCAAGTATGAGATTTATCCCAAAGTTCAGGGAAATCCCTCCCCCCCCCCCCCACTTGATGCACTTCTGCTTTCTCCTTTGGCAAGCTCAGAATTGTCAGTCATATGTTTTTCTCAGAACAAATAACAACCATGCCAAATTACTGAAGACTAAATGAAAGTCGCTTTTGTAACCACCAGCCAAGACCAAAAGTGACAGAGGCCTCCGTGTAGCCAAATATGGCACTAGGTACCCAGGATATCTCCATCCGCAGGACCTCTTGTAAGTAGTCCTATCTCACTTTCCAACCAATGGGATGCTGGCATGGAGCGCCTCCCCCCTCCCCTCCCTGCAAATCTCTAAGGACAACTTTGCAGTTACAGCTCATCGAAGGGATCCCAAATTCTCAGGGAAAGTGACTTACTCTTTAGCAAAGAGGGTTCAGAGCCAGCTGACCAATCAAGCTGCCCAGGAAGGTACCATCCTTGAGACCCAGAGTCTCATTCCGACTTCTACAGAGATCATCAGGGCAGAGTTTATAGGCACTCACGTGTTCAGAATGTGGTTTTGTCCTCAACATCGTGCAATTTGTTTTTACTTCAGCGCTGTGACTAATGCTGGAAACTCTGGCTTTGGACATGACAAAAAGAAGCCAAAGAAGGTTTTTTGTTTTGTTTTGTTTTCAGGTCTTCACTTGACAACTTGGGCTCAGAGTTCTCTGTGAAATTTAAATCCACTCCTTTGTTGATTTGTTTGCTCATCAAATGTTTGCTAAGGACATCTTTGCACAAAGCCAGTATTTGGCAGGAGAGAAGGAACCAGAAGGGGGCCATAAACTTTGCTTCAAGACAGTTGCCGCAGAAATTGGGGGAAAACAAAATGGCAGGTCAGGGATCCCACTTCTCCCTAGGCTGAAATTGGGAGTAAGGAGAGAGCAGAGGGTGAAGATACTTGAGTCGTTGTTAGGGGTGAGTGCACAGCAGAAGAAGGGAATGTTCTAGACTGAGGAATTGCAGAAAATGTCATGGATTTTCCTCTTTGGGAAGTTGTTAGTAGTGCAATTTGAAGGTGTTATCATTTGAATACTGGTACTACTTCTTAGGAGTCTGTAAACTTTGGGGATCCAAATGCTCCTAAAAGCTATTGGGGTAGCACCACAGGTTGGCAGTGTTAGATGTCAAGGCAGCATTAAATGTCAATTCCCTGCCAGGCTCCATCCATCTGGGGTGACATTTTGTAACGCTAGAGCCAGGGCTAAGTCCCAGAGCTCCCTCCAGTGGAGATGGCTGAGAAAGGGATAATATTGAGCCCCAAACAGAAACTCTACACAGTTAGTAGAACAAGTTTTAAAACAAACTATCCAGAGAGGAAGGAGATTGTGGAT